GAGAGAGAGAGAGAGACAGAGAGAGAGAGTGAGTGAGAGAGAGAGTGTGTACCTGGTATTCCCTACATTATGGGGAACAAATGTCCCCACAAGTATAGTAATACCAGTAAAATTTGATCTTGTGGGGACTTTTTTTTTTGGTCCCCTTGAGGAATCAAGCTTATAAATCATACAGAATTACGTTTTTTGAAAATCTAAAAATGCAGAAAGTTTTGTGTAAGGGGTAGGGTGCAGCCCCTGCCATGTTGCCAGATAAAATATGCCAAATATGCAGACATAGACATAGAACACTATGCTATTCCATTCGGTTTTAGTAACCTTTCAGAAAGTCATGCTAAAACATTAGAGCACTAGACAAAGTTCTTATATAGCAATGCTTACTAATGAAAGCTATTACAGTAATAAGTATTGTTACATGAATATTAAACAAATTATCCACCCCTAACGTATAGTAAAGTATTAACAAATTTTGATGCAATAAGGTCTAATTTAACAATGTCCATCCCCTCCAAAACAGAGAAAATATCTTTCACATATACATATCATCTACATATCTGTCTCTTTTAAAGTTTACATGTAGTGTATATAATGATTTGCATTTGTAGGTGTTAATATAGCACACTTCTTAATACCCCACCCCAGACCTCAATAATTTTCAAACCATGGTTACGGCTATGCTCATGACTTTTACTTAGCTGATGTATAAATATGAGGATGTGACTGACGTAAATGAAAGCCGTTCACTTCTGCAAGTTTGTGCACGTCTACTTTTTTTTATTCAGATTTTTGAGCATTCATTTACTCTACCTCATGTCCATCCAAACCTGTATGACTTTATAGATGTTTAAGATATTCCAAACAATGTATTTGTTTGTCCATACAATGAAAGTTATTGGGGTTCACTGTTGTTTGGTTCCCAGTGTTTTTCAAAATATCTGTTTTTTTGTGTTTCAAGTCATATAGGTTTGAAGGACATGAGGGTGAGTTAATGATGACAGAACTGTCTTTTTTGGGTGAACAATCCCTTTAACATACATACAGTACGTGCTAAACAAATCCTCTGTGGAGGATGATTGAATATTGAATTAATGGGGTTCATAGATTTGATTTTACTGTTTTATTAATTAACTATGTTTAGGAGGCCAGAGCAAATGTTAATGCACAACGTGTCCTTTTTACCCATTTGCGTTTTTTGCATTTGAAACGTTATCAATAATGAATTATAAACTAGAACGTTTGGGAAGGTTGTGAAGATGTTTAGATTTACCTTCTAAATTAAAGTGAAATGCATCATCAAACTCATCATTGCTTTATTTTCTGCTGTGTGTGATTTCACATTCATGATGATCATGACAGATTCCAGCAAACAGTGAATGACTGAATTTATACATTCATTTATGGTTATAAAATTATTTTTTCATGAGGTTTTGTCACCATTTAAAGATAAACATTGAGTCTGTGCGGCGTTTACTCATGAAGTTTCCAGTATTTCCAGTTCCCATCAGCCTTTGTCAACAGATCACAGGATTTGTAAACATACGTACATCTGTGAACTTGTACATGTGTAAAAAGAGTTGACATTTGAAACATAATCATTATGTTGACATTGTGCGTATTATTGTGTGTTTCACTGTTACGCATATGTGTGGATGAAGATGTTAGGGATCATCCTGTGTATTTACTGGTATAATATGCTGTAAAGTGTGTATCTGCTGGTCCGCTGACGTGTGTGTGTGTGTGTGTGTGTGTTTGTGTTTGTGTTGCAGACGCGTGATGCTGTGCTTTCTGCTCCTGACGCTCCACTGGACTACAGTCACTGCAGCACTGCAGCCATCCACACGCACTGCCGCCCTGCAGGAAGGTGAGTGAAGGTCACGTGTGTCAATGAACACACTGATCGCTAGTGATCAATAGTGGAAAATAGGGGTGGCCGATATGACCGAAATCTTATTTCACATTGTGAGAAATTTTATTTCATGATAACAATATATATCGCAATATATTTTTTACATTTTGTTATTAAAAATAAGAAAATGAAGCAAATTGCAAACACAATAGAACAAATAAATATAAAATAAACTTCATTTATTCAGCTACAGTAGGTTTAAGAAATATTACAGAAATTGAATATATAGTGTATAAATAAAACACTGCATAGTCTTCACTGTATCAATCAAACATTAACTGATTCTAATTAAAGATACAAAATTAATTCAGTCAAGTGCAGTGAGTGATTAACATTAATAATGACAGACAGCAGCAGGTAAATTAGACTGCTGTCCCTTTATGACCAACTGCACGGATCCAATATACTGTTACACATCCGGTTTTCACCCAACTGTTTACGTTTATTTAACACATAACCGACTGTGTTTACGTGAATACTCCACCAGATGGGCATTTTGACATAATTGTGTGCGTATTTGACCATTCAAGCACAATAAAACACGAAAGAGATCAGTTTTTGCGATCGCATGCTGTCTGAGAGAGGGGCTTTCATTGCTCGCGCTTCGGCTGTTTTTCAGCATGAGCAGTGGATTGAGTTCTTTTTCACTGCTTATTGTGCTTAATAAATTCATTAAACATCATCCCAAATTCACATCTTGTCTGAGAGAAGCGCTTTCTGGGTGTGTGTGTCAGCGCGAGCACTGCATTGATTTCTTTTTCACTGCTTATTGCACTTATTAACTCTATCAAGTGTGTCCCACTCTTTTTCTCATTCATGCATGTTTCCTTATCACTCAAAGGTGTATATAACTCTTAAGTAGTACTATGTTACACAGATATATTTGCATATCGTGGAATATACGATATAGCAAAATCTCTAAAGACAGACACTTTATTCCGCTGTAACGGTATATACCATCATACCGCCCAGCCCTAGTGGAAAATGTGTTATTTGCTCAGCAGAGTTGCGCACATCCTGCAAAAGCGACAGGATCATTGAGTCCTGCTTTGTTATGTATCTTACATTATTAGTGAAGATAAATATATAAACAGATGAATTAGAAAAGTGAAGCTTATGTAACGACATGAGGGAAAAATCTAGTTCAAACAGATATAATTAGTCTCCATAACACATGTCTTCACCTGCTGAAGAAATCCTGTTATTAGGATAACTTAAATGAGCCAAATCTGGTCAGTTACATAAGACATACTGAGGTATCAATGCTCCACCAGTGTATTTACTGCAATAGTCCTCCAGTGTGACCACATGATACTTTAAATTAAGTTGTACATTTGCCAATATTCCCATTACTTTGAGTCAACACCACAGTCCAATTCAGGCAATATTCTGATTTCCCAAATTTTGATTCCCTCCCAAGAATATGCTTGTTTTAATGGGCATTGTAGCATGTAAACACCTTATTCAGAAAACCTGTAAATGTAGTCAGAGAAGGAGCTTTACAGCATCACTGAATCACTGTGAATGAACTTAGTTACTGCTCATCATCAGGATCAGTGCGATAAATCTGCAGTATGATGGTGTAATCTATAAATGACAATCTTATTAAATGTGTCATGTGATTTCACTTCATTTATAGAGCTGTTTGTTTAGAAATGTTGTGATTAAATGTTTTAAACACTGTTTATGCCTGTGTAGGTGTTTTCATTCAGTGTCTCACTATGGTCCTGTACTACTTTGTTACGATCATGTTATCGGTCTGATCTGATGATGATGTGATGAACTCACTTTAATTGCCAGCGTGTCTTTAATAAATTATTTTTATATGCACTGTCTATCCTGAATTATACATTCTGATGTGCATGAGGCAGAAAAACTGTATGTTCCAGATGAGCACCGAGGCATGATGGGTTGATGATGCTGTTGATTAGTTTGACATTTTAGATGAGTTATTTAGAGATAGCTGAAGAAATACTAAGGAAAACACATAATTGATGAAGACACAAAAACTAAACCAAGATTTGGCTGGAGCTCCTGAGGTGGATGAACCAGGTTTCTTAAGGTTTAGCAGCTTCTCTTACGGTTCCACTCACTGTTCATTTCTAATTCATCATCAGAGTGCGATAAATCTGCAGTATGATGGTGTAATCTATAAATGACAATCTTATTAAATGTGTCATGTGATTTCACTTCATTTATAGAGCTGTTTGTTTAGAAATGTTGTGATTAAATGTTTTAAACACTGTTTATGCCTGTGTAGGTGTTTTCATTCAGTGTGTCTCACTATGGTCCTGTACTACTTTGTTACGATCATGTTATTGGTCTGATCTGATGATGATGTGATGAACTCACTTTAATTGCCAGCGTGTCTTTAATAAATTATTTTTATATGCACTGTCTATCCTGAATTATACATTCTGATGTGCATGAGGCAGAAAAACTGTATGTTCCAGATGAGCACCGAGGCATGATGGGTTGATGATGCTGTTGATTAGTTTGACATTTTAGATGAGTTATTTAGAGATAGCTGAAGAAATACTAAGGAAAACACATAATTGATGAAGACACAAAAACTAAACCAAGATTTGGCTGGAGCTCCTGAGGTGGATGAACAAGGTTTCTTAAGGTTTAGCAGCTTCTCTTACGGTTCCACTCACTGTTCATTTCTAATCTCATTTCTAACATGAGGTTCAGTCATGTTCACTTGTGTCTCCTGGTGCAGGAAAGGCCAGTTTTTCCAGTTTGGGATTGAATGGAATGATGAAGAAATGCAAACCGATTTAGATCATGTGATCATCTGGAGGATCCTTTTTGTTGTGGTTCTTGTTTGTTATGTTCTTTAGACGCGTCCAAATTTTTCCAGGAATTGACTCTGCTCATCTCATGCTCATCTCATCACAACTTCACAAGGTTTTTTTGCTTTCTGTCGCCATCGGCAGCTTGAATCATTTACTGCATATTTCCGGAGTCTTTCTGGTGATCTGAGCGTTTTTGTGAAAAGCAGCATGGACATGTGACCCTGAATGACTTTACATCAGGTCTGATGCACAAATAATACATGGTCTAAATCAGGAATCCTCAAATCTGGCCCACGAGACCCACTTTCCTGCAGAGTTTAGCTCTAACCCTAATCAAACACACCTGAGCATGTTTGTGACTCTGTGTAAAAGAAATTGCTGGTAGCAGGAACAATAAGTTGTGATCATATTTCCTGGGGCTTGATCCACTCTGGGTTCACGTTTTCCTCAGGTTTATCTTTCACATGTGATATCACCGTATGACGACAGGTTGTTCTAGGTCAGGGGTAGGCAAGTTCGGTCCTAGAGAGCCGCAGTCCTGCAGAGTTCATTCTAGGTAAATGTAGTGGTTAGTAAACACTAAACCACCAGAACGGAGTCCTTAACTCACCTGCTAAAGCAACTTTATGGCACATTGAGTCTGTCCATATATATATATATATATATATACACACATATGTATTCTGTGTTAAATATGTTCTTGAATATTTTCTGCTGATAGAATGAAAGTAAATACAGGGTTTCTGTGGGTTTAAAGAAGGTAAATTCAGAGCCGATACTCCCTATACGCAAAATACGCAAGCTGCGTAGGGCCCCAGAAACACCAGGGGGCCCCCTTGCTCTCAAAGATGATTTAATTTTAGTTTCGTTTTTGAATTTGGCCAGCGGTCATGAAAACATGAATGATCATTTCTTTTAATGCGGTACGCTGTCGCCCTTTCTACGTAAAAATCAGATAAATCATGTAATGTGAATGTCGTACAGTCTTGCTCCAGACTAAAAAAAATGAGTTGAAAGCATACCTGTTACGAATCCTGGCTCGAGAGCTATATTCAAGAGTATTTAGAGGTCGCTAATTATTTTGATTTGCCTGACTGTGTGCTCATAGATTTTTATTGTGAGGGCATTAACCAAACGCTCAAATCACGTTTAATCCGTGAGGGTCCCCGTTCATCTCTCGTTCAATTTATGGATTATGCTTTGTTGACTGTTGGTTCATTGTTCACTGTGGGTGTCGCGGAGGAACGCGACCCCGAACTCACTCGTGTAATGGCGGGCGCC